AGAGTTGAAAAATATTTTATATCCCAAGCCCGATTGCTTCTAATCAAATTAAATCAAAGAAGATGGATAAAAAGTAATACAATATGTTTAATTATTAATTTTATTTTAAGAAGTGATCATCTCACCTTAGAAGGGTATGTTTATTTACTTTTAATTTATAAGTAATATGAATTTTTCATGTAATGATTATGTGACATTGATAATTTATTAAACAATCATAATACAAAACTAAATTTGGGCTTGCCCAATTACAATTAAAAAACTTAATTTTTTACGTTAGACTAATTCAGAGCAGGTCAATCGTGATTACAAAAAATGATAAAACTACAAATATATTATCTGGACTTGAATTTAAGAGTTCCATTTAAGAATATGCAGCTCCTTGCTAGTTAAGCTAAACGAGTAATTGATATATATATATATATATATATATTGTAACAGTAAAGTGTGATTTCTTGTAGCGTCGCAATTTTTTAAATATAAAAATATGCCGCAGCACATTGGAAGGAAGAAATCTGTTATAAGTGAAAATAGAAAATAAAAGCAACATGAATCTTTTTACTTCATGAATGTACTTGAGCATTGTATATTAATCACATAAGAAAATCCAATTCACATCAAACAGCATAATGGTATAATGGTACTATGATAATTATTAGACTGGGCAGGGACGGTCCGACGTTTATGATAGTAGTGGGGGCAATTGCCCCCACAGCCCAAAAATAAATTACCGAGAAACACCCTAAATAATTTAGATGCCCCTCTTAAAAAAACTTTAATTACTCAAAAAATTTCATTACCTAACCCTTCATGAAATTTTACCCATCCCACTAAAAAATTTATTATCTAAAATTATACTGCTTACATTTAAAACTATAAAACATTTTTAATCAAAATAATTAATATTATTTTTTATATTTATTTTTATTTAACAAGATATCTCATTTAAAAAAAATTGAGTCGTTTATTTATTAAGAATTTTTTTAAAAAAGAGTCATTAACCACACATTAAAAAAATAAAAATGCTTATCATTTTAAATATCTAACTTAAGAAAATGTATTATATTTTTTAATAGAAGGAATATATATATATATATATATATTTAAATAGCAATAGTCTTAAAAAGAAAAAGTAATAATTTTAAAATAAATTGTTTTTGAAAAATTTTATCACAAAAAATGTCAATATAAAGAAAATTTTTTATTTTATTATAATGTTAAGTGTTATGCATTTTTTTAATATTTAATTTTATTAACTTCTGCCATTAATATAATTTAATAGATATTTTAAATGATTTTTTTATAAAAATATTAATATTTTATATCATTTTTCTGGGTCCGTAGACTGGGAATATTGTTGTGTTTGTCTTGTTCATGGGCCTATTCTGGTGGTTGTCTTGTTTGCGGAATCGAAGTATCAATATAATAATATGAAATATTAAAAAATGCCAGAGGTTCACTGACAGGGAACGACTTTGCTTTTTTGGAAGAGGGTTACTGCCTTTCTTTTTTCCCCTTTTCCCTCCCTTCTTCAATACCTATCATTGATTTTATTTTATTAATTAAATTTATTTTAATTACAAATTTGATGAATTGTGAAAATTAAGAAAGGGAGGAATAATGAGAGAAAAGAAAGGGAAGAACCCTTCTCCCCCTTTTCTTTTGGATCTGTTTAGTGTATTTAGGCAAACTTGATATAAAAAATAGAAAAAATTATATTCCTTCCGTTTAAAAATATAAAGCATTTTTTGAAGAGTTAAATATTTAAAAATATAATACATTTTTAATCTTTCGAGATGTAATTATTGTCTTTTTTTTCTAAAAGTATCCATATTGATAATAACTTTATATTTATTGTAGGGTATTTAATAAGGATAAATATAAAAAGATAGGATTAGTTAGAAAATAGGTAACTATTTTATTGAGAGGTGAGATTCGATTAAAAATGCTTTACATTTTTAAATAGAGGAAGTATTTAAATCTCATAAAAGAGAATTTATTACTAAAAAGTCTAATACAATTTACAAAATACTTTCAATTTCAAATCTTGTGTATTTACAACTTGATTAAGGATATTAACAACTAAATAACGGCCATACAAGTTGTAAATAGCAGTTACTCAATTTTTAATGTCCTTAGTTAAGTTACAAATGTGTAAAATTTGAAATTTAAGAGTATTTTATTAATTTTATGAAACTTCTTGATAATAAATTTTTTTATGTGAGATCTAGATATAATTTTTTCTAAAAAAATAGCCTTGTGTGTGTGTTTTTTTCCTTTTTTAAATGACTTTCAAAGTTAATTATTATCAAAATGTTTTTGAATTATCTTTTATATTTTTAATATTATAATAAATAAATGTATGTCACTTTCATCATGCATCGGGAAAAAATCGCAATACTTAGCCGTCAAAAACCATGGAGTTTAGATTTGTAGTGACATGTTTACCATATTTAGCGAAATATTTATCCAAGAGAAAATGCCTTGGGCTACGTTTAATTGGGAGTTTAGAATGGAATGGAACAAATTATAATTGTGACCACTAATGAAATTAGTGGCGGTGCTAGGACCTTAGGTCATTAGATGCAACATTTTTAAAATTAATAATTTAAAGTTAATTTAATAATTAAAAAAAAAAGTATTGTATCCTGCATGGCTGCATGTTATGAATCGTTAATCAAGCATTTCATTGTTGATGCTAAGAAAAATATCTTTTTTAATACAAGTCATTAGACAATTATTCATTAATAGATCTCTCATATGATCATGCAACCAATTTTTTACAAATTTTATAATAAAAATGGCTCTTTCTATCATTGTTGTAGCAACCGATAATATCTTATTATATTATAAGATATGCCTCTTAATATAAGATACTTGATGTGATATTAATTATATTTTTTTAATATTATTCATATTTTAATTTATTAACTATGAAAAATAATGCAATGCAAATCCAATTGAAAAGTTTTAATTTAAATATTTGTACTATTAAAAATTTATTTCTTTTAAACAAGATTAATGACTTAACACCTTTCTTTAATTCTGATAAGGTAGATTTGAGGTGACAGAGATTGAAGGGACTATGCCTTGTACTAAGTTGGTAAGTTAATTATAAAAAAATAACAGTCTTATGGCAATATTTATAATATTGATGTGAGATGTTACAATTTTAGGTGACCATCCCAACTGTCAAGTTAAGACCTTAATTAGCCTTTGAAGTCGAAAAGACATCCCATTCCCAATTCCTTAATTATTCCATGTTTAAAAATTCCCCCAAACAAGGCATATCCAAAAAAGCTACCATAGCGGATCATTATGAGTTGTCAGCTGTGTGATTTTGTGGGCATGGACATGGTATTTCTCCACAATCATTTACTTAGCGGTCTCGCTGATTCGTGTATTTACCACTGTTTTGAAAACCGGACCGGACCGGCCGGTCGGACCGGTCGGACCGTCGACCGGTCTGGTTTTCGGTCTGGTTCAAAGGAAAAAACCGTTTTCAGAGTTGAGCCGGGTTGAGCCGTTTCGGACCGGCGGTCGGACCGGGAACCGGATCCGGTTTTCAAAAACCGGACTGTTCAAAAAAAAACTTTTTTTTATTTTTTATCAAATTTTTTTAAAAAAATGACTAATTTTTTTAATCATTTGATATTATAGTGTATCATATAGCTTGTTAAGTCATGATAAACTTAAAATATTTAAGTTTTTTAAGTTAAATAGCAATTTTATATGTATTTCTTATATTTAAATTATTATATACATATATAATTTTTTTTTAATTTAATTATTACGTCACCGGTTGGACCATTGGTCCAACCGGTTGAACCATGCGAACCGTGAACCGCTGACTTTTCCGGTTCAATGTCCGGTCCGGTTCTGAAAACACTGATATTTACGGTGAAGACTCAAATCTTTTATTTGGATGTGGTGAAAAATAAAAAAGGAGACAGCAATGAGACAGTAATTGCGAGTGCTGCTGCGATGATTTATGATATGAAGTCTGCTCAGTCTAAAATTTCTAAAGGGCATGGGAAGAATTCGAACCAATCTGACAGGGGTAGATGGGCTCCACCTGATCCTAATTGGGTAAAATGTAATGTCGATGGTGCGTACTCTCATCACAATTCTCTCGTAGCTTGCGGGGGTCTTCTGCCGGAACTGTCATGGCAACTTCTTGCAAGGTTTCATGTGTCGCATGGATAGAGGTGATTCTCTGACAACTAAGGGCCTGTTTGCATACCTGTTGTGAATCAATTCTGGGATTAAAATCATGATTTTATAAAAATTTATCCAAACACCCTTATTTCATAAAATTTCATTTGATTTGAAAAATTTTATTTTTGAGAAGTTGAAATTTCTTCCATTTGCAAAACTCCATTTGACTCCTTTTCTTTATATCATTTATTTGCACATTCAAAATTAATTCTCAAAAAATCATTCAAACATATTCAATTTATCAAAATTAATTTTTAAAAATTTATTCAAACATCATTACGTTTTAATAATTAATTTTTTCTAATTGAAATCCAAACACACCCTGTACTATGGGCCTGTATTCATGGTTTGAGAATGGCCTGGGATGCGGGTTTTTGTAAAGTTGATCTTGAGACAAATTCAACAGAAATCATAGATCTAATTATGAAGGGATGCAATAGTGAGTATGGGGTCGTGCTAGAAATGCAGTCGCTGCTTCAAAGGGAGTGGGGGGTTTAACTTAGGTAGATTCGTCGTAGCACTAACATGGGTACTGATTATCTTGCTAAACTTGAGCTCAACTCGATGTTAGGGATAAATTTTCTAATGCATGTTCCTGATGGTCTTTGCGAGGTGCTTGCTAGAGATTCTGATTATGGGTCTCAGGGTATAGGCTAGCTTGCCTTGGGTGCGTTTTGTATAAAAAAAATAAAAAAAGGAGAAAATTAAAAAAAAAAAACTCTCTATCCAAACCAAACAACAATCAGGATGTGAAATGATTCCGTCGAAATGATTCTTGCATATATTCCAACAATTGTTGCCATCAATATGATATTCCATGGAGAATGTGAAACTACACATTATCATTTCGGCATACAAAACACGAATCGCTCACAATTGCTCGTAATACACAGTATAACGGTAATGACACACCAAAATAACAAGTTTCTCTTATTGAGAAGCTACTGTGTGTGCCGCTGCCAAGGGACAGAGACCAACCACCACATTCATAACGAATACAAAAACAGAACATTTCATCGATCAGCAAGGACACAGACGACGATTCTTTAATTTCTCAAAACTGGCCAACAATAACCCGATGAGAACGCAGATATATGTATTCAATTATTAATTAAGAGCGTTTGTCGTCGATACGGACTTCTTCCTTGAAGAGCTTAGAAGCAGCAGCTCTATCCAGGTACCACACGAGGTCGCCTTCATCAGGCGAGATCAGTTTAGCAGGAAGCTTGCGACTAGGAGCTTGTGGATAATTGTCGTCCTTGAAAGCAGAATAAACTGCGTCAGCATTGGCAGAGCCAGCCACCACCATTGCGATGTTGGAACTCGAATTGATCACTGGCAGAGTTAGAGTCACTCGCATCACGTCCTTGTCCTTCACGGAAGCCACCCATTTCTCGTTCTCATCAAGAACTGGATGATCCGGCATTAGAGAACCCACACGTCCATCTGCCTCCATGCCCAGAAACATCAGGTCGAATTTAGGAAGCTGGCTTTGTTTGGACTTTGCTATCTCGTTCTTGGAAACCCAGATCTCCAGTTTCTTCTCGTAACGTTCGGCTGCTTCGTTCTCATCTGATAGGTCGTAGTCAATGGTATAAACATTTAAAGATCCAGCTGCTCGTGACACCTGAAGAAGAATAATGAGTACGCTAGGTCCAGCAAAAGGAATGAATGGAAGTTAATATATATGTATACATATGTACCGTGGTGAGAAATTCATCGTAAGCGAGCTTGTGGTTAATCTTTGCGACTAGTTGATCGTTTGGCACAAGTCGCTTTTTTAACTGATCACCTGGCACGAAGACTTCCTCTTCCACCCAAAAAAACCGCCATTTTGACCACTCAATTGTATCGATGTATGGAGGTTCCGACAACTTCCTGAAAATCCGGACCATATATGGAAAAATATCATCAAACTATAGTCATTGAAGGTCATGCAATTGACTATGCAACACTAGGAAGAAGAAGAATCAGAGACCTGAGGAATTTGACGGAAGGGGTATCGGACAGAGCAACCGAGAAGGATCCTTTGTCTCTGATGTATTTTTGGGAGAGTTCAACGATATCATGAACCAGGGACCCATGAAGATGCTCCTCAGAGAATATTTCCACGTTCTTAAAGCTCTTCTCGTCCTTCTTTAATGCCTTCACTGTGCCAAACAATGTCCTATTGTGTTTCAGGGGTTGGTAATGGAATAATCTGTGTGTTGCTTGGGGTGGCGGCAGCATCAACGACGTCGTTTGGGACACAGAGTTTGGCTTTGGGACACTCAAAGGCCTACTCCGTATTTGTGGGATGCATGAAGAAGTGAGGAAAACAGTAGAGGACAGGGCCATTTCTGTGAGTGTTGAATGAAACACTTTCGAGTTCGAGTGCTTCTCACAATGTCACCCGCATTTATATATCGATATTGATATCCTTTTCTCGGTCCAAGGAGCAAAGGCAAAGCACATTCAAATTTGAATTGGATTCCATTACTACTACCACAAGCAACTTGGTATACGCATTCGTTGATGCGCTTTAGTGAGACAAAATCCAACACTTACCCCACCATTACTAAAGGCTTAGGTACTGCAGTGCAGACGATAGTTCGGCCCAAATTTAGCTTGTTTCCATGCCATTTACAGCGTATTATTGGAGAGAATTATGTTTAGATTTCTCACAATACACTTAAATATCACATTAATATTTATCAACAACTCAATGTAGCAAAATGATAATTTTCTCAATAAATTTTACTTTTTTTCCAGACCATAATATATGTCATTATTAACTAATTCATGATTTATGAAAAATCTTATTTGAAATCTTGATTCTTTTAAAAAATATTTACATCTTTTCATTTATGCCCTTTTAAAATTCTTAATAAAGCATGCATGATCTTTAAATATGGAGCATTTAAAGATAAGGAACAAAAAGAAAAATAAGGGTATAAATGAAAAAGAAACATAAAATTTGCCCAATACTCTATATTTTGAATCAAAGTATGCCTTTAAAAAGCCAGTTATATTTTGGTGGGGAGGAAGTATGATATTTAATTATGTTATGAGAGACTTGAAACATAATTATTTAGAATTATTATTATCCGATCCTTAGCATACAATTGGACATAGGAGGGAGTAATTAACCTCTTACCTTTTTTTTATTACCGTTCTACATTAATCTATACACATCGCTAGATATAGAGTACAATTAAATATCACATTAAATATTTATCGACAACTCAGTATAGCAGAACGATAATTTTCTCAATAAATTTTGTGGTATTTAATTATGTTACGAGACATTTGAAATATAATTATTTAAAACTATTATTATCCTTAGCATACAATTGGACATAGAAGGGAGTAATTAACCTCTTACTTTTTTTTATTACAGTTCTTCATTAATCTATACACGCCGGTAGATATATAGAGTACAATTAACAAGCAATGAGAGTAAATATTATTTATAATGTTATTGATAACTTTCAAAAAAAAACAGTAACGTTTTTTATAATTTGTTAACAGCATATTTATTATAAATTTTAAAATTTATATTTTATTACTGAATTATAATTAAAAATAGCACCATAAATTGACATGGAGCTCGAAACGAGCTACCTAACACAAGTTGTAGTTGTGAATAGTAGACTTTTAGCAAGTTTTATTTATATTTTAAAAAAATTAATCTTTTACTCCTTCAACTTTTAATTCACTTATAACTCAATCCCTCAACTATGACTCGCTGCGATTCAGTCCCTTAATTATAACTCATTGCAACTTAATTCCTCAACTTTTGATTTACCTATAACTCGATCCTTATTTTTTAATTTTAAAAAAATTATCAAATAAGAGGGATAAAAAATGCTCATATATTATTTTAAAATACTCTCTTCTTATTCATTAACGTAAGATATAAGCTAGCATGAAAAAAAAATTAACAAAGATTAAGAGATGAATTTGTAAGTGATTCAAAAGTTGAAGGACTGAGTTATAGGTGAGTTATAGTTGAAGGACTGAGTCACAGCGAGTCATAGTTGAGGGACTGAGTTACAAGTAATATAAAAGTTGAAAGACTAAAAGATTAATTTTCTCAAATATTTTTTATGTTAGATATATTGATGATATGTTAACAAACAATAAAGTCATACATGTGGCCTGTGCGTTTGATTCAATGATGCTGACCCAAAATGGAAACCAACGCATTCGATCCTCCTAAAGGATGCCATTAAAAGGAAGAATGTAACTGTGAACACGTACGCCGTCATGGAGCACCTTTTTCAAATGCTTGCCATTTCTGCCACAGCTACGAGAAAGAGGACATGAACCATGTATTGCTCTGGTACTCCTTTAGAGATCTCTTCTCCCCAGTGGCAATCAAGATCACCTTTTTTCCATTAACTGAACGTAGACACGTCACACTAGGAAGGCAAATGGGTCTCAGCTTCACTCCGCAGCCAACCCAGTTGCATCCAGGACTTGGAGTATGCTCCGCCTTTAGGCTGGGTTAAGATAAATTATGATGCAAACTTTAAAGTGAACTCCACATGGGCAATAGCCTCGAGCAGGAACTGGATCAATGGAGTATACAGCAACATATATAGGCCCCGGCAATAACACCCAAGCAGAACTGTAGGCCATTGCATGGGATGAAGGCTACCGGCACATCTTGCTTCCAAGTGACACTGTTTGTGCTATCTAGCTTATAATTGGCGACCACTCTCTGATAAAGTCTCACCACGTCTTACTACAAGACATCAAAAACCTCTTTCAATGCCATTGGAATATTCAACTCTAACATGTATACAAAGAGGCCAATCGATGTGCAGATCACCTAGCCAATCATGCCTTGAGCCTAATTCTTGGTTTTCACATGCTTAGAACCCCCCTTGATTTAATTCCCTTTGAAGCAAAATTCCCGTCTTCGGCTCCCCTCCCCAACCCCCAAACCAAACAAAGGATCAACCTTCCATGACTCTTTGGAGCTTACTACCCCTTGTTTTATAATAATAACAAAAACAAAAAAGCCATACTTGTTAGGAGAATAAAGCCAAGTCCTTTGCTAATTTATCCACCCGAGCTACTGGCTAGTACAAGAAACAGACATTGTTTTCTATACCTTCCCATATGCTAGTAATAAGAATACCCAAAGATAGAATTCACATGCACAGTAAAGCAAAATGATCCATTCAAGCTCAACATGTACAGTATTCAATAAGCCACTTAAATCCATTTATACTCCCTTATCTCATCCTTATTCTTCTAGCTAAGATTGTGAGCTTTATCACTGTAAAAAACTTACCCATGTGACTAGGTGACTTGCTCTCCAACTAAGAGATATCGTACATGGCCAAAAACCCTAAAGCTCCTGACCAGACCACAACCTCCCCCTTTTAGAATGCAAGGGGTGTTATAATGTAACACTCTAATACTAAAAAGTAACACCCTAACTCAAGGATAGCAATTGATCCAAATATTTGTACAAAATATGAAACTATACCAGAATTTACCTTAAGGAACCCAACACTGACATGAAAATAAGGCCCACACCATCGTGGATGGAGATGTGGTCTACTAATAAAAAATTATATATTACAATTCACAATAGTCAAATCAATGACCTAACAATAGCCAACAGGGATACCAGTTCATAAATATAATAAAATAATGGGTATTACAACTTTCAAAATCAAAAGTCTAGCATAAATCCTAACATTTGGCATTTGTACAAATAATTTTCAATTGTAGTACATATACCTAGTATAAGGTACAGATGTCGTCTAATCAATAATAAGGAGGTCACCACATGGGTGCCTTCTTGGTATCATTGGAGCTATCACCTGAAAAATGTTAAACAAATGGTGAAAAAAAAAATCTCAGTAATCAAAAATAAAATTTCTTATATATCACCTTAACCATTAGTGAATTATAATGTCAATTATTCCATTATGTCAGTAATAAGTCCAATCATCTTTTAGAACAGAATTCTTGTTTAGTTATCTCACAACTCCACCCTTTCCCTTTTAATACTTGTAGTTTAGTTTAGGGAAGCTCAAAACCCTTGTAAAATTGTCCAAAACCCCTTAGAGGAACACCTAAAATTATTGCCCTTCGTCTTCACCCTTCAAACCCTAAGCTTTTGGCTTGAAATCATGTCTTAAATATACTAATTCATATTTGTCTAGCCGGTTATACCTTCAATAATTGTGTTTAGCACTAGATAAACTCCACATTTGACCAGTCAATACCTAAAAAATGTTCACTACCAGACACCCTCTTCATTATTCTTATTTAGAGCCGGATATCACATGAGTAACATATCAAATTTTTAATATGTGATTTATGAATTAATGAGGGTGAATTAATGATTCAACATAATAATTAAGCATGATTTGGTATGCTAATTGAATCATATGGTTTATTGGATAGGCTTGGAAAGGGTAGCTTAGGCCATTAAGGGCCCAATTGGATGATGCAAACTAAGGCATTAGCTTTTTGCGTTATCCATAGATGACGTGCACTACAACGGATGGTTGTGTTTTGATTTTAAATTAAAAAGGAAAACAAAGAGAATGAAGGAGTTGGAATATTGGTATGTTACAGTTTGCTTTAGGTACCATTTGGAGGTGTTTATAAACCAAGAATCAACAAGGAAAGCCTCTCGTTCCCTCTCTAACTCTCTTTTATGTGATTTTAAGTGGTTTTGGATGATAGAGGATGATAAGTTCATTTCTTGAGGAGTTCTACCCAAACCCATTAACTATAATGGAGCCATTACGAGTTGCTTAAAGTTTATAAACCTAAGGTTGGTGTTTTTATAGGGTTTTATGAATAGGTTTTTGATTTTATGTCAATCTTAGGCTTGAGATTAATGATTGGGAGTAATGATTATTTAACTTAATAGAGGTTAGTCGAAATTAATGGAAGGTTATAAATGGTTGAGTTATGTAGGTGAGAGTCGCGAGCTTGGGTTGGCTAATTATAGCTAAAAGTACTTATATTAGAGTTGAAAATTGATATGGTAGTGTTTGGAGATGTAGATTGACATCGTTTGGACCTCTTTAAGCAAAGGAAGCTCAAGGAGTTGGTAAGTTCATGGGTATCTTTTTTGTTTTTTGTAATAAAAGTGTTGAGGTAATTGAATAATCCAATACTTTTACCTGCTTGTTTGAAATTATTGGAGTCTTAAGAAATTAAATAATATTTTGATATATGTAAAGTGTTATTACTGTTTTAGAAAAATAAATGTAAAGTGGGTATGGTTTTGGAAATGTAAATGTAGTTACATGATTGTAAAAATGAATTTAAAAGACAAAATGTGCTAAGCACGTTCAATATGAGAAATAATTTGATTTAAAAAGGAGCATGTTGATATTGTCTATGTTGTGAGATACATTAGGAA